GCATAAGGCTGGTAAAAGCGAAAGAGAAGCAAATAACAAAAATAACTGAACCATAACCCAGCACTGTCACTTTTTACTGATACATTTTCACAGAGTGTTAAAACTTTTCCACCCAGTCTTATCACTTGTCTTAGAAGAAAGTCAAGGATGTGCTCTCTTTTCTAAACTTGAAAGGAGAGTATACAATCTTGCCTCTGCTTGTAGTGTAGAAAATTGGCATACACTGCTTTTTATAACGGTTCTTCCTTGGGGTCCAGCTGTGGGCAGCCAACAGTGAATGGATAGTGGCACATAGAACGCAAAAACAGAAGTACCTGGGGCAAAACAGTCCATACCTATTACTGATAGCTCACCACGTCTTCTTTGGTTATAACATGCCCTGTGGAGTTACCTTTGACAGCTACTTTATAGTGTCTTTTAAAGCTTACTGCAAAACGTACAGGACTGACTATCATTTCAGATATATGTAGTCCAAATAATCTATGTTGCTCTCGTCCTCTTATATTCACCCCTCCCTGACTTCATTCAGAAATCTTCCACTTCATCATTCTTCATTCTCTTTCTCCTCATCCTCTGTTTAGTTAGGGGAATATTTGATTGGCAGGTGATATCCTCTCAGGATGGCTCACATTGAGAAAATGTCCTGTCTGCAAGTAGTGTTAATTCTTATGTACAGTTTCAGTGCTGGATGATTACAATAATATGTTACTGAAATCACATTACATTTTTGTGTAACACAGTATTTTTTTTCCAAAGAACTGCCACTAACTGCATCTTTTTGCTTTTTCAGACCATTCTCCGCTTGATTGTTGTGCAAGAAAATCCCAGTTGGTCCGCAGTTTCTAAAATACCCAGACCACCTCATCCGACACTAACCATGCCCAACTATGCCACATTCAAATTCACTTAAAGCACCTTTTTTTCCTCACTATGATGCTTTGTTTGAACTTCAATAGGTTATCTTGAACATGTCTACATGCTTAAATGTACTGAGTTGCTACTGTGTGATTAAATAGTTGTGTTAACAAGCAGGTGAAGAAGTGTACCTACAAAGAGTCCAGTGAGTGCCTGTACTGACTAGATGCTACTGGTAGTTATTCAATTGACAGAGCTATTAACAACACAATAAAAACAGCTGATTTGTTATCATAGCTGAAATGACATGTAATAAATAAATAAACATTTGGTATTTTTTTCTTAGAAAAAGGTATTTTGTAGTTTGTGTTATGGTCTTGGTGTCTGAAGCTGTTTTTCTTGTGTTCCCAGTGTCTGCAAACAAAAAGATTACTTTGCAAATGCTTGCCAACCCAGGATGCCTTCTGTTGTATACTTTGAACTGGCAGAGCCCACACAATTTAGAGGTGAACTGAGCTGGAGTGGTGCTGAAATACAGTGTAGTAGTCTTAGAACTTGTAGTAGAACAGTAGCATGGGCAAGAAGAGGCAGAATGAATGGGCTGATTCAAGAACTTCACACTGGTATTTCCCCAAAGGCACTGAGCTTTACCTCGTTAGTAAAGCCCTCACCTGGCTCTCTGCGCTCGACTTGCCTGATATGAGGTATGCTGAAGTAGCCTGGAGACTATGCCACTGCTGGAGGACAGAAACACAATATAGATACTAACAATACACATTACGCTGCATTGATAAGTACAACATAGAATGAAAATGCATCCACGTATGTTTGCCTATACACATGGCAGTGTGATCTATTGTGTTCATATGTGTCTCTATGTTTATTCGAACCTTCCCACCTTTCAGACCTCTGCAAAAGAGCCCAGCCCTCTGATTAGCAGTGATGAGTGGCTGGAGAGATAGTGAGACCAGACCCCTCTGTCACTAAGTGAAGGCTTTTATCTAACTCTTCAGGGGATTCTGCCATGTGATGTTGCCTCAGTGCTCCTGTCTTAACTCTCGTGCCCTCATCTCACCCTATTATCTCTATCACCTCCATCTTTGCCTTTTTATCGTTTAACTCTTTCTCTGCTGTGCACACACACACAAACACACTCTCATTATCCATCCACACAGATAGATGTGCAAATGTAGAGACACAGAGTTACTCCACCTTTGGTTATCTACATTTTTGTACAGTATCCAAGACCATTTTTTCTTCTTTTCCTTTTCTTCTTCTATGTGTATAAAGATAAAATCAAACAGTAGGAACACACAATAATGTTTACATTATATATAGCATGTATAAATAGACAAACCAGGTATGAAGTCACAGCTCAGGCAGCAGTCCATGGTGATGGGAGTGGCACACACTTTACTGCTTTTCAAGAACTATCAGGAATGACCACACTGCCCTCCAGTGGCTAATCTAAAAATTGCAACTTTAAATCAGAACAATACAAATCCCTGAGTCTGTGATGGGGTGGGGCAATTGATCTGGTTCTAATCTGGCTTAAATTTATTAACAATATTAATTTATGAGACCAATTGTCACTTTGTAAACTATAGATTCAGAGAAATGTTTTTATATATATAATGGGTTTTTCTTTAATTAGGCTCAGGCAATAGCGAGATCCTTGTATTTTTCAGCACTGTTACTCATGTACTGATGGATAACAGTGCTGCACTTTCAAATCATCAAATAAGTTTCCAAATGACTCACAGGTGTGTGCCATTTTATCGCATTAATTTGTACTACCATAGTCAGCTCTGCTTCTCCGGTAATTCGATTTTGTTCAGAGCCTAATTTTCACTAGAAATAGTTATCACCCACCTTAATATTACAGTGAATAATAAATGCATCGTACTATCAAAGTAAGTTAAGTGATGCTTGTATGAGCCAATGTCTCTCCAGATATACCCTTTTGCCCAAATGTCTGCCAAAAAATAGATGAAAAAAGGAGGTGGCAGCCTGTACGACAAACTCAGTGATACAAAGTCTAAAAACAAATGGGTGACAATAGTTACATTTTATATTGTAAATATTACAATAGATAATGCCATTTGTTGTTTTACTTGATCTAAGTGGAGCATAGGTCATAAGCTGGTTTTGGTTGATGACACTTCTCTATGTACTGAGAGTGAATACCTTAAAATTCACTCTCAGTATAAAAATCACTCTGGGTGGAAAGAAAACATCCCACACTTGATGGTGACTTCCTGAATTCAGTCCACACTTGTATAGTTTTAAGCATTCCAGGATCCATGTGTGAGGTATTGAGCTATAGGCTGTCTTGTAGTCAATCCAGGTGGTGGGACTACCTTAGTCTACCAGTAGCTGGTGTGTTTCCCCAGTGGCATTTTTGACTGTTCATTTGTGGGATGGACTGAGCTTTGTGCCTGTTCATCTTAGCCGCTATGATGCCTAACAGGACCTTCCATGTGGTGCCAAGGGAGATGATTGGTTGGATGGGACTTGTCCCTTCTGGGGATCGTTGTGGATCAGGACTACCCAGCCTTCAATTAGCCAAGAAGGCAAGCTGACAGAGGCAGTGTGATGCTACAGGCCATGTTCTCCTGGGAAAACATCCATGTGGGTCTTACTTGGACATGGTTCATGGAATCGGTATTCTGACTGACTTGGCCTCCAAATTGACTAGATCTCAGTCAATCCAATCGAGCATCTGTGGGATGTGCTAGACAAACAGTATTTGTGTTTCTGACTCTGTAATTATATTTTTTGATTATTGTTGTTCATAGTTTTGGTTTTCTTTAGTTCTTAGTGATTGTAGTCTTTCCTCCCTTAGTAGTTATCTTAGCCTGTGTTTAGTCTCTGTCTACTCTATGCTTTTACTGTATCCCATGTTTCATGTCTAGTCACCCTTGTCACTATGTTCCCTATGTCTCCCCAGTTACTGTGTTAAGCTTGGGTGTCCTGAGTCTGAGTTTCGGTCTGTGTGTTTCCTGTTTTATTTTGATGGTCCTTGTCCTGCATCCGTGTATCTAGTTTTACTTTCCCTCGTCTCATTATTTCTGATTAGTCCCAGCTGTGTTTCCTCCTGTTCCCCATCCTCTCGTGATCCTACCTGTGTATCTTAGTCCTCAGTCTTTCCCCTGTCGTTTCGTACCCTCTCCGTGCTGTGTTTTGTCCCCTTAGTGTTCTAGATTCATTCTAGTTCATGTTTCTTAGTTTCTTGAGTCTAGTTTAATTCTAGTTTCCATGTTCAAGGTTTTGGTTTGTTTTTGTGAGTTTATTTTGTGGAAAGTTCTCCCAGCAATAAAGGCAGTTGCTTTAAGTTAATCCTCTGAGTCCAGTGTTTGAGTCCTACATTCTGCCTGCCACAGCACACAACATGACAGACATATGTCTATAAGTTTAACTCCATTTTAATGTGTTACATTATGTCAATTGTATGTTTTTCATTAAAATTTGGAATCGCATTGTCTTGCATGTCTTAGTTTAATTGAAGATCCTTAAACAATACAAACTGCATACTGTGCATTTAAATACTAAGCTAAATCCAAAAGGTTTCTTGATAGATTAGCATAAAGAATTACAGGTGGGCTGCCTGCTTCATGTCAAGATTTTTTTTTAAAAATCCACTCTATTATGGCACCTCATAATTATTGAATGTTAAAACTCTTTAGGGGGTGGACTTTAAAAAAAAAGTATATGTCCTGTCAGCTAAACAAATTGGCAGTAGCAGTAGCTTTGAAAGTGTTGCTTTCAGATTTCTTTTGCTGTTATACATGTACTACTGTACCTAGTATAAAAAAGTAGATGTTTTTTTAATGCATTTGTTCTGAGCAGACATTTTAGTATTGTTAATTAGCTACATCATTATTCACATAGTCATCTGCTGAGCTTATTTTTTTTACATCTCTCAAACATTAGGAGATAGGATTAATTTTAACCTCTGAGTGTAACACATGCTTACATGCAGCGAGCTTCCCTAATTTCTTAAAAGTCATTTTACAGAATGCAAATGCCAGAAATAGAAATCAGACAGAGTGAAATTGACTGACAAAAGTTATAGGAAAAAAATCCTTATGCATACACAATTTGGCATAGACACAGAATCACACCGAGTGTTGTTTATATATGTATTTTTTAAATGTTTATTTACAGAAGAGAAGTGCTCACAGTTGCTGTGAGTTTCGACGTTTTCACATATGGTAACACAGCGGAAATATTTCTACAAACCACAAGTAATACCTATTCTGTGACTGATTCCTTTGAAATAGCAATGCATCTATCACATGGCCAGCATCACCATGACTAACACTGAGTAATCCATCTCTTGTTTTACACACTAAGAAAATTGCACTTCTAGAAATGTAAAGATGACAGACCAGATGTGCTCGTGGCCAAAGATGAAATGCTAATCTATTAAGTGCTCCTACAATTTGCTTCTACATTAGCATATGCGATTAATGACATTTTGCTCGGCACGCAATGATTACAAAGGTGTCTGAGTAGCTGCAGAGCATCGCTGGTGGCACATGACTATAGTCTGTGCATACATATTAAAAGAGGCAGAACTGGGTGGGTACACACAAAACTAGAGATAATGTACCACAAAAAAAGTACAACATTGTGACATCACTGGACAAAGCAGCTCACCACAAAGCACCAGAACGTACAAAGAAAAGCTAGAGATAGAAATGCACTGAGTGATTTGTACAAAACAATGTATCGTCTGTGCATAAAATTTTCCTTGATTTAATTCCCAAAAAGACAAAATGAGGCTTTGTTTGACAACACATGACACGTATCTGAATATGCAGGCATGATCCTTTTATGAAGAGATGGGACACCTGAGTTGAGAAGAGACTTTTATTTCTATAGAAATCTGTCTGCACTGAGAGGTATAACCTGCCTCAGGAGGGGTTCTCTTTAGCCCTTCTCCCTAGGAAAAAAAATACTTTACAGTTTAGCAGATTTAGACATTTTTTTCCTTTTTTATGATTTTTGCCTTTAAACTTTTAGAAAATCTTGGTAATTACTCATATTGCCAAATAATAAACAACATTTGAATGGTTTCCTTTAATCCCTCCTCTCATGTGTTGAACTCCTCAGTGCAGGACTAGACAATCCAAGTCACTATAATGAGTAAAAACTCACACTGAGGTAAAATGAAACACCAGTCCCATCCTCTGTTAAAACACTTGGCTAACAAAACAACAGTATTCTTACCTTTAATGTTCTACTTGTTTACAAAATGTGCAGTATCAAGAGACTGATCAGAATCAAATGAAGTTACCAACATGAGGTATAGTGTTTTAATTAACCCTTACAAAAAGAAGACGAAATCAACATAATTATCAAAGTAATTATCTTCTCTACAAAATGAGAGAATGAGTCATTTTTCTCTAGAAATGTGATTGTTCTAGCCAACAAAAAGGTGTACAAAGAAAGCAAGGTTTTATACATATATTCAAAAGAGTGGTTAATAGTGTTAACAGAGCTCCTATTAGGAGAGTATACATCATTTACGCTGCAGGCAGGGTTATGCTAATCGCCATTCCATATCCTCTGTCACCTCCACACACCATAATAATTCACTACTGCATCAAGACTTAATACATAAGTGAAACAACCTGATAGAAGTGAAATATCAGTTGGGGGGGCGGAAGCATTAAACTATGTCTACCTAAGATTTTACATTAGATTTTGGCAACTGCAACATCATGAAATTTAATTCTTTCATGATGGATGTGATGGTGTCTTTACTTGATTAACTCCCAAGCACAAACTAACTAATTTTCAATTGTTTTAAATTGTCCATGACAAAAAATGGTGCATTGGTATAGAGAATATACCATCTCTATGTTTACACTTTATGTGCAGTGACAATAGAGTCTGAAAGAACAGCACCTATGTTCAGTGCAGTGTTTTGAAAATGAAAATGATAGTTGTGAGACAACTTCATTAAATCTTTGCTCATAAGATTTAAAAGTATTTTTTTTGTCATTGTACATTTTCACTGTGATTTTCTAACATTGCCTTGATTCAGTGATTTCCATCCAAACACAAAGCTTATCCAAACAGAAGTTGCACATTATGAGTGAATTAGTACTTCTTTTCTGAGCATGGCTCATCATGGCTGACTTGGACTGAGAGAGGTATGTTGAAGATATCAAACTGGAATGCTTTTGAGAATGTTTCTGCCAGTACTCAGGACAAACATGCCTTTTAAGGATACCTACTTAGAGTAGGCGCTAAGTAGAGAACAGTAACAGTGAATATCGCGTGTAAAATTTAAAAAAAAAAAAGTCGGTGCTTTGCTTTAACTTTTATAAAAGGCAAATCTTAAAGCACGAGTCAGAAAGCTGTGGCTGCATTGTTCACTAAACATTTAAATTGTATATCATAGCAGGTATGCTACTTTACTAGCAAAAGGAAACCTGCTTTGAAATCACTGTTTAAAAATGGTCACATGTAAAACATGCTTACCAGTTTAGACTTATGTGCACAATAGTGCAGCAGCAATTTTTTACCATGTGAGCATTTGGTTGATTTGCCTTCTATGGACCACTTAAGTGGGTTAGACAAACATTAAACTGAGTGCCAGACATTTTTATGGTGGCATTTTGAAGATGTGTAATAATAATTTCTGTAACTGGCAGTGAATCATCCAGATGCAACGAATATCACTTTCTTTCTTAATGAATTTCCAATCAATGTTTCACACAGGGTTTCCACACATTCATTTCTGTCTGTAAATGACTGCTATTGTATGTGAAAAATAAATAAATAAATGGCAGTCATACTTTGATGTTGGGTAGATAAAGGTCAAGGCAAAAAATTTTGTTGAGAAATTTTGGCAAGGAAAGCATTTTTAGCGGGAACACTGAACACACTGAGCTTTTTTCATTAATGTCAACAAACAACAATTTCCATTTCTGCTGCTGAAGTATTTGAGCTCCATTATCACTGCTAGAAACACGACCTGAGAGAAGATGAGACATCATAAACAGGGATTGACTCAATGCTAAGATTATATTTTGAGATAGATGACATTATTATTACTGCTCACAAGCTCTGCGGACCTGCTATTGTTTTAGAGTTGAATCTACAGAAAAAAAAAAGAAAAAAAAGTCCCCCCAGAACAGTATTATCATTTTAAAAACTCTCTTTTTGAAGTGAAGCACCTGATAAAGCCTTTTGAAAATGTAAGTTGTATAAGGGATGCAAAGACTTGAGCCATCTGTAGCTATGAATTACTCTAATGAGTAATGAGTGTCGCACGTCCTTGTCATCATGCACTAAGTATCCAGGACAGAACTCTTATTATACATTAGTGACCTGAAGCAGGCAAGAAAAAAAAAATTTATAGCCTTCTTCAAGTATTTTCACAATTTTACCTTATATTTAGGGCAACTTGAATTCAAAAAAGTCATATTCCAACATTTTGTTTATCATTAGAACCCAATAAAAACCCTAACATTGGATTGACTGACCGGATTACAGAAACTGGTAGAACGTTCCTATATTTGGTTCTACTTTGACTGGAAGTATAGTTCTGAAACCACATGCCACTGGGTGGACGAGTTTCAGATGCATCACATCAAAGCCATAGGGTTATGTATTTCTTTTTCAGTACAGCAATGTTGCAGGAAAGGGTAACTTTACACTGACAGACACAATCTATTAGAAATCTGAGAGGAAGCTGCAATGCACTAAAGAGACATAATTTCCAGTTTGACATAACACATACAGTCACTGCAGGATGATTATTCCTTCAAATATTAAATGCTGTAAAATCAGACAAGTTAAGAATAAGATCTCAAAAGGTGCTAGTTACATAAAACTACTTAAATCACACTGGAAACCGTCCTGAAAATAAATGAGGTAGTGCTGTTGATAAGAAGTAGGGATGCACCAGTCTCTACCCTCCTTGAACCGACGCTGAATCACTGCTTGTAATATGAACGTTTTAATTTTGAAAATGACTGATTGAATATATAAGGAACAATTTCAAAGATAAAAAAAAAAAAAACATTAAAAAATGGATCACATATAGTGCTGAACAAATTTATTAGATGACCTGTCATAAAAACAAGAAAACAGAAATATTTTAGAAGTCTGTTAAATACATATTGAAAACTAAATATATAATTTTTGTATTTTTATGCCCAAATGTCGACCAGCACACTGAACATCTCTGAGAAATCAGAAATTTATAAAGCATATTGTAACATCCAACCACTAAAACTATTTTTTTGTGTTCATGAAGGCTAGATAACTGTAATTTGGCTTTACTATTCTTCAGCTTTTTTTGTATAATAGTAAATTTGAAAATTCATGGCTAACAACAATATTTATAATTTAACATAAGAAATATGATTTCAATTAGAGATTGTACATACTGACCGTTACAGAAAAAAAAAAGATTTGGGTAGGTATCAGTACTGTTAGTCAGGTTCAGCAATGGCATAAACCACACTTTTGGCTGACTAATAAATTTGTTAAGCACTGTATATTTTTTCCTTCCTTTCTAGCTGATCTTGTTGAAGTCTGTCAAAATCAATGCAAAGAATTGTGGACATTTTGAGTCAGGCAGAATCAAGTCAAATACACTATATACTTTGGATTGTGGCAAGTATTTCATATTAAAAATACGTTTACAGAGGGGGAAAAAAGTATCTTGACACAATGGCACAGTATCTTGACAATAGTAGGGACAATGGTGCATCCCCATTTAGGAGCTAAAGAAAGGAGAGTGGTCTACAGATGTACAGTTGTAACACCTCCTCTAGTACTCCCATCAACACAAACCAATACCAAAATAAACATCTAAATACTATAATTCCATAAATGACATATAAAAACCAAAAGAAAACATGTTTTACTTTTCAATTGTCCCTGGATTACAAAATCACACCACAGGGATATATGGCATTTTGGAAAAGAATACTTCACGTTCCACATCTGTATACTTCATATGTTTCCAATTGACATTTTTTGTACTTGGACTCAATGTAATATTTAGAAATATACAGAGGTTATAAATGCACCTAGAATAATTAGGCACCTGAGACCCCCACATTCCAGTCATGAAATGTATCTAAATGTGTGTTTACACATGACTGTTTGAATTTTACATGCAATATCGAGGAATTAGCGAGGTTTTTAGCTTTCTGTGTGTTTGTATGTGTGTGTGTGTGTGTGTGTGTGTGTGTGTGTGTGTGTGTGTGTGTGTGTGTGGCTGTGGACCCTGAGACAGCAGGTGGCTGGAGAGAGGCACAGGTGTTCTGCACTTGCAGAGTGTGAAGATACTCTTTAAGGCTTATTCCTAAGTGCCACACTGAAGTAGCATCCACACTACCAAACCCAGGGAGACCCTGTGCTTCCAATCCATTCATCAGTGATGATAACCTGTCCAAGCACTCACTCACGGAAAATTCCTGGCCTTTTCTCATTCCTGAGTGGAACAGAGCCATTTACGACACAGTGAGAAATGCCTTCTCCAATTCATGTCCGTCTGCTTGGTTAAATCTTTTTCCTTCCTATGGATAGGAAAGACCCAGAGGAAACTGTGGTTGCAATGATAGAGAATGCATACCCATATACAGTACTCTACCACTAAAAATATACCGTATATGTTTACTCTATATACACAAGTATGAAACAATGGATTCAAAGTACCTATAAAACTTTGCAAGGAAGAGAAAGAAAGCTAATAATGAGGTGCATAAAAATAATCCTTGGGTTTTTTTTTCCTGGGTACATAAAAGAAAATCCATATGGGGTTGATGCCCTGCATGCAGAGGCTATGGGCACAGATAACTGTGTGCTGCTGAGGTAGAGTGGACAAGTCCGGTGCTGACAAAGGGGGAAGGGGACAGGCCAGGAGAGATGGCTTTCCCTGCTGCAGATGGACAGTGTCTAGAGTCCCCATTTTCCAGACGCTCCGACCTCAGCACAATCTTAGGTGAATGGAAACCATTGGTTAGACCCATTTCCTGATGTGGTGCTGTGTCTGCAGTCAGCTGGTGTCCTGTATCTTCAATTTCCCCATTGTAAGTAGCCACCAGCTTTACTGAGGGAAGATTTGAGGAGCTTTGGGATAGTGACAGTTTTTCTAGATGTTCCTCTTTTTCTTGCGAACTCGGCTGGCTCAAAGAGGAATACTTTTCCTCTGACAATGAGGGTCCCAAGGTGGTGTTAGAATCCGTGTTTTCATAGCCCTCCTCTTCTTTCTCCCTCCCTGTGTCCAAAAGCTCAGAATGAACAATGACTTCTGCCTCAACCTGGTTACTGCACATGGATGTACTCAAATTATCTTCTTCCTGCAATGAAACAGTGTCACTGTTACATGAGATTTTCTTTTTATTAGTTTATCACCCTGAACAAATGAATTCTCTGACAGTTCCTCATTTGTTCATTTACCCACAATGCCTGTGCTAATGTAAGATGTTACTTTTCTTAGCATACCTGGCTAACTAGCTTCATCAGCTAAAAACCAAGTACTTAACTGACTACATTTAATAAACAAATTATTAATGTTGGAATTAACTAGCGCTGAGATTAAATGCAAAAAATATTTTTTTTCCCCTCTTTTTTATAGCTCAAATAGGTGAATATGCTGCCCTTTAACTGGTGATGTGCAACTTGGGACATAGTCTTTGAAAACAATATTTTACTTTATAAAAACAATATCTACTGTTTAAAGCCATCCAATGCACATTAAAGTCCTCATTTAGAGACGGAATGCATTAAAAAGTCAATTGTCGCAGCTAAATTTAGCTTAATTAGCCTGATGTTTATGATAGCATCTGGCAGTGAAAATAATGATTTCAAGTGGTAAAATCAATCACCCGTCACAAATTTTTTTAACCTCATTCTGAAATGTATTATTCGTTGATTTAAAAGTTTAATAGGGTGAAACAAGGACAGTAGCATATTAAACTGTAAGTGTGAAAGACTTAGCAACATGTGATGTGCGGCTGGGTTTACTAAACTGTCAATTAGAAATACAGTTGGAGAAAGTCTTTGAGAGAACAGTTGTTGCCTAATATAGACAACGAAAGTCATATTTTGTTCAACAAATTACCATGCCATTATTAGTGATTAGCATGTTGAGAGCTCCATTCACGAGTGTTGGAGAATCTTCTATTAGGGTGTCTTTGTATCTTGTGATTCTGTTGGCCCAGTTATGGCTTACAGAGCCGTTCCAGGCAGCCTATAAAATGAACAACATAGTTGAAACACCAGAATCAGTATTTTCCCTCAACAAAATGTGAGAGTTATAAAGAAAAAAAATGAAAAAAGGGGAAAGTTTCTATATATACAACACATAGAGAGAAAATATCCAATGGCCATCTAAAAATAAACTTTCCCCTTGAAAATGTAGACCTTGGGTTCAGGTGCAGGGGCATCACCTTCCCCATTCAATGGATTAGCACTTGCCATCAGACTCTGCTCTTCTGGGGCCTCTGCTGGCGGTTGACCAGACTCTTGGCTACCTGCCGGCATCAATGTCTCCAACTCATAGCTGTTGCTGCACTCTGGTATGTTGGAGGGAATGGGGCAGCCTCCTCTCTTATACTGAGGTATCACAGCTGTAGAGTCCAGAGCCCCAGATAACTCCCTATTTAGAGCAAACATTAACACGCAGATACATTCTATTTTACGTGTCCTTTTGTTCATAAGCAGTAAAACAAGTAAGCCACTGTATGAGTGCTAAAACTCTAGAGTAATCATACCTGGATTTGCTGTTACGAAAGCTGAAACACATGCAAAGGAGGATGCATATCAGTCCTAGGCACACACCCACTATAATGCCTGTCACTGCATGGATGTCCAGCTCTGTTAAAAATTGAGATAACATGGAAAAAGAAAAAAATCTATTAGTATAAACAACAGGGCTTTTTTGCCCTTCCAGATATACTGACTATAACTTTTGATATTTGATCTGGTACCTGAGATTCATGAATTGTACAAAAAAGCCAGTCTTAAAAATACTATTATTTGTAAAACTTGTGCAGGTCTGTTATATAAGGCCTGCTAAAATGCATTGATTTCTTCAGGTAAGTCAAGCTTATAGCAGCAAAGCGATGGGCAACATTTAAGAGCAGACCTTCATTAAAATGAATTTATGCTGCGTGTTTTTGGCAGTTTAGATTAGAAGAGGAGAGGAAACAGATGGCAGTAGCTCTCTTTCCCAGCCGACTAGCTACCTGAGTCCCACTTCCACTGCTATCTGCAAACACTATTAAAGCCCATATGAACAAAAAAAAAAACCCTGTTACTCTACCTTTTTTATTAGGACAGTTGCCTGAAAAGAAAAAACTAAACAAAAAAGCATTTTGCTGCTTCTTGCACTGATAAAAATATTCCAGATAGCATGTCCTCAGCATAACTCCTAACTCCTGCTTTAATCCTTAATAGTTCTTGGGGAAGTTAATGGCTCTGTGTTTAAAGAAAAGCAGGGCATTTAATAATTACGAAAGCTAAAACGCTGACTGATGGAATTAAAAAGTATGTAGTGAGACTGCAAGCCTAATCACAAATTGACATGAGAGCAAAGAAATTACTTTCATAGCAAATTCTGTTATGTACACAAAGCAGTAATTGAAAATTAACCCTGGGGTCACTGATGAAGCCACCCTTTGATATCTGACATTTTAATATATTTAAGATGCAGACTAGGAGAAGAGAAATAACAAGCTTATGGAAAGCTAGTCTTTCTCTGCCAGCTGAGACAAATTACTTACTTTAATTAGAAGGACTACGTGCATATACAGGCAGTGTGAGACTATCATTAAGAGTGTATGTGTGCTTGTAACACAGCGAGAAAGATTAGAAAACAAAACAGAGGAAACCGGTATGCGACAATGAAAAACACCCACAGAAACGCCCAGAACTTCTGTTTTCCCACAGGACTATATAAAACGACATTAAATCTTTTACAGTAACAGTGCAATGAAAATAATGAATTTTCATGGTCTGCAAAACTGCAGTTTTATTTAACCTCTGCTTGACACATACCTTGATGGCTTGTATGAACTTCCTTTATAGGTGAGTAAGGCCCTGGCCCCACCTCAGTAGATGCCCCCACCTTAAAAAAATATCGAGTGCCACTGGCCAAACCCTGGACCTCTACACTGGTAATACTCCCTGTGAGAGAGAAAACAAATCTTAAAATAGGCAAAATAATGTGTATCATAGAGAGAGCAAATATTACTGTAAATATAAAAATAAAATATACATTTAATGCTGTTTATGTGTCGTGAAAAGAAACACCCACCATCCTGGGAGACGTTCTTCCATAAATGCTCTGGCTCACTGAGGTTGCCACTGTACAAAATCCAGTAGCTGATGATGATACCATTAGGCTCCAGTGGAGGGTGCCAGCTCACCAGCACCGACGAGGAGTCCAGCGTAGTCAGCTGCAGCTCCTCGGGAGGTGTGGAAGGCCCTGAAGGGGAAGGGAGGGTCAGGTCAGTAATTAGAGCCCCGAAATGAGGCCTCACAGCTGGAGAATGTATATTGTCATTGTGAGGGATTTGATATTTGTGTGACAACCATCTGTGTCCTCATGTCCCTACCACCTGGGTACAGGAGAGAGGGACGTGCAGGGCAATAGGAGAAAGAACAAGGGGCCCAGGTGATCACACACAGTAGTGGAGAGCATGATGGGGTTACTGGTGTCAATGTTATTATTAACAGTGGCCCACTCAGCACTTATCACTCACATCTGGGAGAGAAGTTGTTGGCCAGAGTGAGAGCTACTACTACACTTGGGTGTTTTATTAGAGCTGTCAGTCATTATCACCACCTGCTTATTTCTATGTTTGCAAACCACTAGCCAGCCAACATGCTGATTTTTACATGAATGAGCACACACTCACTTGCATCCACAAACGCACACCTTCATACCCATAAGCTGCACCATCTGAGGATGAACTGCATACAATTACCTTGCTAGCTGGAGAAGAACATTGACACAATTTAATAAAACTGGCATAATAATCATAAGTTAATCCAACAAAAAGTTCAACTTTTATAAAGGGGTGTGTTGTTACAGTCATATGAAAAAAAGTGCACTATTTGTCAGTTCTGTGGTTTTGTTTATCAGGACACAGAAAAAAAAAACACCTGGTCCTTAGCAGGTTCTAAAATTATTTAAACATGACTTGAAAGATGAACAACAACACGTAACATAATACACCAAGGCAATATCATCATTATGCTATAATGATCGAAGCATATATGCATGTATGTTTGTATGTTCCCCATCTCCTCCAAGATAGGTGGATCAGTCTTGATGAAACTTTGCATAAGCCTTCCCTAGGACATGTTATATACAAATATTTTAAACAAATCCTGCAATCGTACATATTTGTACATTTGAAGGCTCAATTAAACACTAAATGGAATGTCATAATATATAATAGTATGGCACAATATGACACATCGGCATCAAACAATAATGATCGTAGGGCAGGGGTCCCCAATCCCAGTCCACGAGGGCCAGTGTCCCTGCAGATTTTAGATCTCACCCTGGGTCAACACACCTGAATCACATGATTAGTTCATTACCAGGCCTCTGGAGAACTGAAGACATGATGAGAAGGTAATTTATCCATGTAAATCAGCTGTGATGGATCAAGGACACATCTAAAACCTGCAGGGACACCAGCCCTCGTGGACTGGGATTGGGGACCCCTGTCGTAGGGTATGTATGTTTGTTTGTATAGGTTTGCTAGCAGAAGCAGTGTGTGAGGTGCACCCTTGCTGCTAATCAAACGCACTTGATTAGCAGTACCTGGTTGCTACTGATGATCAGTCAGCAAGTGTAAGTATAAAAGCAGGGGTTTTAGTAGTTTCCTGCTAAGATAGTGCCTTTTGGAATATGTTTAAATCAAAAGGTTAAATCTTGCACGTTTTCATTATGTTATTTTCTTATTATTATTTAAAGGTAATTCTGAATATTTGTTGACTGTAGCAAACAGTAAATAATGCCCAAAAAGGGTAAAAGAAAAATATGAACAGATTTCTGTTTATGCACTGCAAATAATGCACACCATTATATCTATAGAACACCAAACCGAGCATATCTTCACAAAGGTTTCGTCAAATGTTAGGCCGTCTGCCAGCTAAAACTTGGCTGAAACGGGACATCACAGGTCGATGTGCAAATCTACAACAGGATTGCAAAAAAATAAGGTGCAGCAAGTTTCTGTTAAAGTCATGACCTCAATCAGATTGAAATGCTGTGGCAAGACCTTAAGCCGTGCATAAATATATTCTCACAAACCTTAAAGAACTGAAGCAACAGTGTAAAGAAGAGTGGGCCAAAATTCCTGGTTAGTTTAAACAGAAAATAATTACTTCAAGTTACTTAAATTTATTGTTGCTAAAGGTGGTTTTAAATGGTACTGAACCATGGAGTGTACTTAGTTTATCATACACTGCTTCTGCATTTTGGCTGACATCATGTAGTATGTCATGTGTTGTTCATCTGAGGTTGTGTTTAAATCATTTTAAAAGGCTAGATTTTTGTTTTAAATTCTGCTCTCATGTGTAAAACCTTAGAAATGAATGAGGGTGAACTTCGTTTGTCACCTGTTAAAGGGTAGGAAGGAGATTTTATAACTCTATTTTGAGATTAATTTATTACGAAGGGCTTAAAATATACACAATTCCTTTTTTTATTTGCCCACTTAAAAGAAAGAAAGAAATATTGTAGTTTCCTTGTCATGTGCTCTCTATTTCTGCAGGAAACAGGATCCCACACATCGATATGCATTTAAAAGCACATTTTTTATTTTGGCCCAGAGTAGTTCTTCATGAGATGTTAAGGTTAAGTGACTTACTCAAGTGGACCGCAAACAATATGGAAGAAAGGATTTTTCATTTCTCTGCTTCACATACATGAATGAAGACCTGATGGCTGGAGGATTCACTTGAAGTGCATATTTAATATGAGTTCTTGAACCAAATATGTGTCAAGAACCATCTACAGTAGATTTAGTGCTTGTTTTTTGTTTTTTTGTTCATCAACAGCATACAGAAAACCAACTCTGAAATATCCAGGTTGAAGCTGAAAACTTACGGTCAGTGAGAGTGGACTCTTCCACAGTGCCGCTAAAGGGTCCTACCACATTCGCTCCATTAGACTGCACTGCCAGCTCATAGCGAGTGAAGGGTTTCAGTGCCCCAAGCAAAATCTCTTCTGCAGAGCTGGAATATACAAAGATGAGAGTCCTGAATGGGTAGTAGTATAGGTTATGTCGAAATCACATGGAAAAACACACATGTGCTGTCTTAAATTAAATTTTGCTGGGTTATTTAAATATTCTGCTATAACATATTTAATTCATTAATTAATATTCATCTTCATCAGTTATTTACTGCACTCACTGGTCATTTAGTAGGTAAACCTTTTCAACTCCTGGTTAATGCAAATTTCTAGTCAGCTAGTTGCATGGTACTAACTAAATTGCATTTAGGTATGTAGGCATGGTCAGTCTGCTGAAGTTCAAACTGAGCATAAGAAGGGGGGAGAAATTTAAGTGACTTTCAATTTGGCATGGTGCTACAGGGCTGGTCTGAGTATTTCAGAAACTGCCATCTCTGTGGTTTACATAGAATAGAATGAAAAGGACATAATATCCATTGAGGGCTAGTTGTTTGTGTGAAAACGCCTTGCTGATGCCAGAGGTCAGATGAGAACATCTAGACTGTTTTGAGCTGATGGGCTACAACAGCAGAAGACCACACCAGGTGTCACTCCTGCCTAAGAAGAGGAAACTGAGGATATAATTTGCACAGTCTCACCAAAATTGGACAATAGAAGATTGGACATCTATTGTCTGGTGTGATGAGTTTTTATTTCTGCTGCAAGAGAAGATGGTAGGGTCAAAATCTAAAGTAAAGATAGTTTGACAATGTTGATAGTTCAGCCTGGCGGTGGTCTAATGGTTTCAATCTCATAGTCTACCCGAGTATTGTTGCAGATACTGTTTGTCAATTATTGACCTCAGTGTGCTCATCTTTCGATGGCTACTTCCAGCAGGATAACGTGCCATGCCACAAAGCTCAAATCATTCTGGTCCTGAACATAAGCTCGTTGTACTCAAATTGCCTTCATAGTTACCAACAGACAACCTTTGATGTGTGATAGAATGAGAGATTCTCATCTTACATGTTCACCTGACAAATCTGCAGCAACGATGTGCTGCTATCATGTCAATATAGACGTAAATTTGTAGAAATATGTCTAAGAACTTTTAGAATTAAATGTCATATTATTTTTAATATGACATTTAATTATATACTCTGAAGCCTGATAATGAAAATACACTGTCTGCTAGTGAATGGAAAACAGTTTCTTTTAAGAAATGAATCCAAGTTGCTCTAAGAGAAGAAAGCAAGCAAACAGGTGTTTTTAAAGCAGTTTTCAAGGGGAGTGGGTTAATCAGTTCAAATACCAAGAGTGTACAAAAAAACACAGGAATCTGTAATTCTTAGGGCCAATTTCATTCCAACAATATTACATCTCTTGAGGTTATACATTATTTCTAAAGAAGTTTATCTGAGTATTAGAGGTCTTATTAAAGTCCTTTTATAGTTACTAAGGCCACTTTTAAATAGGCTTAGTGAAAGTGACTTTATCGGGATTTGTGTCATTCAGGTTCAATATCTCTTACATATTGCAAACATCATTCAATTTCACATGTGTAGCCTGGTATTCTGACCTGGTGTAATAGGAAACCATGGATGCGTTGGTGGTTCCTGCTGGGCTGCAACGCACTGTGTAGTCGATGATGTGTACATTGTTGAACCGCGGTTTCTCCCATTGCAGCCAGATGGAAGTAGAGCTGTTGGCTGTGGCTTGGATATTGCTCGGGGGCAATGGAGGTGGTGGCCCAGGCGTTGTTGGTGCTTTAACATGGAAGTGAGCTTTACTTTCTTTGATTCTTGGAAAGTGTAATTTTTGTTTTCTTTTTGGTCACACCATAGAGGTTATGAAGGTCAAGACATAAATGTGTTGCATTCATTCATTTATTTGTGCATGTACAGATTCAAAAAGAAAGCTTACGTGCATGAGGCTTTTCTGTCTTTCCCTTCCACACTGCAGCTGCTCCGTCTGTCTGTTTATTGAATGCCCATAGCCTCACCTCAAACTGTCGGTCAGGGCCTGATACCAATATACAGGAACAGAAGGAGACACAATGATATTCCTATTATGCACAACTAGACATCTCTAAGGATGTTGCATGCTGAAAACAATGGGCATTTGTGGTGGTACCTGTAGCCAAATGCTCTAACGTGAATGATATTTTTCAAAGGAATGTTGAATTTGTTTGTTTTTTTTTACTTTTCATTTTACTTTTCTGCCAAGGACAGGGGTAAATAAAAAACCCAGCAGTCATCTGCCTTGAATCAAACATCCTTAAAAACCTTGAAATGTGGTCAGTGTACCAAAAAAAAAAAAACCTGAAAAATTTCCAACTGGTCATCACTTCAACAAATTAACTGCAGATAAAGTGAAGATTATAAAACAATAAACATTATTATATACGGAGAGGCCACTTCCAAAAACGTACCCAGCCCAGTGAGGAGATGATATCTAGCCTTCTTACGGAGCCTGATGGTGTGTGTCTGTGTTGTCCTTTCCCCATTGGCCGTCTCTTCAGCCTCGACTTCTCGACAGGACAGCTTGTAACCAGAGACCAACGTGTGATTGGGTGAGGGCTGCCATGTGACATTAAGTGTGTTCACACTGGCTCTAACTTTCAGCTCATTAGGAGCAAAGATCACTTGAAAAAAAAATGAAAAAAAAAATGAATTAATTCCAGATACAGGTATTATTTAAAAGAACCATCAGACTTTCACTACAGCTATAATTTCATAAGATGCTTATAGTGCTGCTACCTGATATCCCATGAGTACAGTAGGCAGTTCATCTATTCTGTGTTTTTCTAAAGTATAGTGTGAAGTTATGTGAGTTCCAAAACCAGGAGAAAGGAGAGTGAAGGGTGTGCCCATGCATGGATCTAATTACTTTGAGTTGTTAATGTTGTGAGACATGTTACAGAGGGATTTTTCAGTCCAATATTATTTTTTAGGCATCTAATATTATCTATCTGGGACTGTTGTTGATGGCTTATTGGTGCGGCTCTCCAATACAGTCCCAGTTTCTTATTTAGCTCCATTGGAAAATTAATTTCCCATCATTGATCTAGATTATGTAGGTGTGATTTACTTGATTTTGGAGCTATTGTCTGTATTGAGATGTCTGTCCTCTCTCTATTAAAATGGAATTAAATTGCTCAGCTTGAAAAATTCAGCAGCCTCGGCTCTTTCATGAAATGATGAACAGGTAACCAAAAAAAAAACCCCAACCTTGTTGTGAGCAATTTTGTGCAAGAATTGTTTTGTGGTGAACTAAACCAATGCCAATGATGTCAGAATGTGCAGAATTAAGCTTGCATCTATCTGTGATGAGAGGCTTGTGTTTGTGACAGTATGACAGGATATAAATATTTAATGGCCTCGTCCTTTGCAAAGCTTCAGTGTTAGCTAACACCATTTTGTACCATCATTTTGTACTGATAGTGAGCCAGTTCAAATTGCACCAGAACAATCTGGATAAAGAGTTCTACTGGTAAGAGAAGAAATTCAAGATGAACTGTGCCTTCAAGAAGAAAGATGCAGTTTATTGCCTTACTTTAGGGAAGTTTATTTCAGTTTATTTTAATCATGTAGAAAATATTTAACATTTCACTTTAAACTATGTTTGTTAAGCAAACTATTATCTAATGTCTTTCTTACCCATGCTGTCATCGCTATCAATGGGAGGTGTCTTGTGCTGAACCCACTCGGAAGGAACCCCAAAGCCAATGGCAGTTCCAGCAGCTATTCTCAGTAGGTAAGTCTGGCTGGGTTGCAGCCCTCTCAGTGTAAAATGTGTCTCATTCCCCCCCACCTCCACGGAAAACACAGAGTCCGCTGTGGGAACACATACCAATGATGTGAGCCATGAATAGAGTTTGACTATTATAGGATTTTTAAGACTGATAAAGATATTTGATGATTACTATTTTTCATAAATATGATTAACATTACTCTTATTAAGTTGCTTTGATAATTATTTGAACTATTCTGCATTTAATAACTTACACACTAAAATAATTTACATTAATAACATACAAAGAATGAGAGGTGCGTCAAAGGTTTTCGCATTTTGTTTTGGCAACTTACACTGTCATTCAAGAACTGAGTAAATGCAACTGAAAGAAACTTTAATGTATAAATCAGTGGAAAATGAAAAGTATTGAGAAACAAAAAGGTATTATATTAAAAGTCATTAAAGTGGCAAACAAGAAAGCAACAGAAATGTAAGAACATTAACCAAAGTGCTATTGGGCAACAGGTGCGACGAGTCAGCTGCTAGTATTTCTTGTTTTCTCTGTGCAGCTTATGTTAGGACACTTACGCTGATCTAAAATGCTGTACTCAATGCGGTAGTGGGTAACAACTCCACGACTCTGCTCTGAGGACAATGGATGCCACTTCACCTTGACGTCTGTGCGGGAAGTGCTAGCTATATACAGCTGAGGAGGAGCACTTGGCACTTCAAGAAGGAAAAAAAGAATAAAGTGAGATTTCTGACACATATAAGAAACCTATGCTATAGATGTGCATGGTTACTGGACAAAAGAAAAACACAAGTTGTCCAATTCATATTTTGTCAAACTTTAAGCATCACAACTTTTTTTTTAATGTTTAAATGTGTACTGCATTTATCTGGCAATGGTATGAAAATTTGAATTGCACTTTAAATAACAGTTGAAAGGAAAATGCTCAATTGAGTTCACATACTACGTCTTTTTCAGTGATACCACTAATAGTAATGACTCATGAGCACTTAAATGTCCTGACTAGTTGCAAGGTTGACAAGCTTATAATATATCTTCTTTGAGTGACTGAAACAACTCAGGCTGTTCTTACTTTACCTTTGTAGCTCTATTTTATCTGTATATCAGTGTGATTACTCACCATCCTCCAGCATCTCTACAGTGATAGGCAGAGACGGGCTGCTAGCACCCATGGGAGAGTAAGCCACCACAAAGAATGTGTAGGTCGTATGGGGCAGAAGCTCTCTGAAGAGATATTCAGTGGTGTCATTGTTCATTGCAAATTCATATTCCCCGTTATCAGAGCCTGAAAGATGAAAACGTTCAAATCAAATGTAAGCATGCTTGCCATGTGGCCTCCCATACACAGATTTATGACACAGAGACAGACCTGCAGTGCTGTGGCAGTGCACAGAGTAGCCAATGATTTGATCGGAGTTGTACTCAGGTTTCTCCCAGCTGAGCAGGGCAGTTGTGCTGGAGTATGGTGTAGCAGAAAGGTGGCGAGGAGGGCTGGGCAGACCTTCCCTCACAATGACCGTCAGCCTGGCAGTCGCACAGGCTGTGCCAAGCCAGTTCTCTGCTATGCACTGGTAGTAGCCTGCATCTTCCAGAGCCAGCTGGTTAATTAGCAGGACTCCGGGGCTTTGGGTCTTTACCCGTCTGAATGACTTTATAGGCTGGCCATTCTTCAACCAGTGCAACACCGGAGGAGGTTCTCCAGAGCTGTTACACAAAAACCTGGCTGTGTTTCCCCGGGAGAGGGACACTGTCTCTGGGCCCTGAAGAATCACTGGGGGGGCTGGAGAATTAGAAGGAAAAGTTTGAGGTCATTCCATGTCAGTTCATGAAGTGGCTATCATCTGAACACCTCAGCTTTGCCTGAAAAAATTGATAGATACACTTCGTAACCCTTTTAATCCCACTGGCAACAATTGTTGCCGTTTTAACCCCCCTATTACAATTGCACATATTATGTGTAGTGCATGTAAAGTGCATGTAAAATGCATGCACTTATTTTGCAAGAAAAATTTTGGGATTAAGTGGGTTAATGGGAACTATGGAACATTTCAGGTCCCTACTGTCAAGTATTGCAACAGATGTAGGTAGGCTTGTTTATAGGCATTTTTATAGCCTTGTTTCCTTTAGAGTCTTTCTCTAAAAATGCTCATTTGGATTTGGTACATGTTGTCATACTTGAGGAAAAGCATACTTTAATGAAAATGTTTTGTATATATTCAGTATTTAATACCTGTGAAACCATTCACAAAATGTGTATTATTTGAAATAATTTTATATGCCTTGTATATGGAAAGCTGTAACTAAGTCCCCTAACTGCAAAATTGTGGTTTCTACAGGTTGTCAGGGTTGAGACATGAAATATTTTAGGGACTCCAATTATTCTGTGTTACTTTGAGGTACCATCATGAGAGCCCATATTCATAGAGCCAGAGTACCAGATCTTCACCATGAAATAACTGGAGGGACCTAGCGCTTGTGCTTTTTTCATGATAATGAGATTTTAATATGGACCCTTAGAAAAAGAAGAGAAAACATCTAATAAAACATTTTTGAGAAAACTAATAACAGTAGGTGCATGAAATTTGCAAGAAGTGCATCTTTCAATTTTATTATAGACATGTTTTTTAAAGTAACATGAAGCCATCACAACTCTAAGTTTTAGCCTACACCTCCCAATATGCAATGCAGCAGTCTTTTTGCCTCCTTTACTTGCATTGTGAATGACATGTCTTACAAAACAATATACTGCTAATCCTACTACTACTACAATTACTATTAGTAATAATAATAATAATATTAATAATAATAATAACTACTTAATTATTGTCAAAAAATGTCTAGATTTTGGGTTTGATACAATCAAACCCTGAAAAACAGGATTAATCACTGGACTAGAAGTATGAACCAGAGAGTGAAGAACTTCCTGTACCAAAAATCAAACCGAATGTCAGTTTATAGATATTCGCCAGCAAGTGAGAAGGCCAGACACATTTATGTTAAATGTTTCAAGCCAAAGTTATAATTGCTAAGTAAAACACATTTTCAAAATGAGCTTTGCTAGTTTTGGTTTTTAATAATTTTAATAATTTTTTTAAAATTAATTTATCTATTTTAACAGACACCAGCTAGGCATGCCCATCTTTTTAAAAAAGCTCTTTGACATTAACATTAGCAGTTAGATGAACAATTCCATAACGGAGTGTGTATATTTAGGAAACACACTGATAATTTAAGAGACTGTGATTCCTTAATTTCTTTCTCCTCCTCCTGATTAATGAACAGAGGTCTATGTGAAAGCCAGTGCTTCTTCAAAAATGCCTTAAATTGAGAACCAACCTTTTGACATTGGTGTCTCCATGAAAAAGCTTTAATCTTCATATAGAGAACATAACACAACTCCTACCGGGTACTTGCAGCTCAGCAGCAGCAATGACAAACTCTCTGGTCCTGGGCTTGTTGGCTCGGCAGACATAGACACCAGCATGGTGACGCCTTGTGTCTCTAATCACCAGGTTTGTTGCAAGGACGACCACATCAGTAGACATGGGCTTTCCGTCTGATCAAAGAAGAAAGCAAGAGAGAACAAAGGAGATCGTGTTGATGGGAGAAAAAGGACACTGGCCTTGAGAAAAATTGAGCTCATTTCGCAGGCTTTCAGTTGCCTGAGAAACAGCACAAAAGACAGTGATGTTACTTTGAGCATGGAGGGATTTGACCTGTAATCACAAAAACTGACCAACAGGTGGCTCTGTGACTTTTCAGTCTGGGTTCACTGAGCTCTCTGCATTGGCACACTCCTAGGCTCTGTGTGAAATCATTCCCTATTCACTATATAGACCCTTATTTACTTTGTCCGCCATTTTGTGGAGGATTTATGGCCACCAACTAAAAAATACGAGGTGAAAAAGAAATGGTCAGTATTTAAGCTCCAGCGGCCACGTTGCAAATGATAACCAGAATGACCAATGCATATATAGTCTTCTAAGAATTGATTCTAACAGTGATTCTGTGTAAATTCAAATGTTGCTGAGTCACAGGATGTGAAAGGATTTTTTTCCCCATTAACATTTCATGTGTGTGTATGGGTGGGTGTGGACAAATGGTGGAGGTGTGAATGAATTGATGTGACAAATCACCTTATGTAAAGCATGACTCAATGCAGGATAAAGCAGTTGAAAAGAGACAGCTAATATCAACTTTACACCTGCAGCTACTGCAAATCTGATCCTCACTTGCAGATGTTTGTTCTTTGTTTGTGTTTGGCAGATAAACGGCGAGCGAGGCACTGATAATGACAGACAGATGCAGTAGAGTACAAAAACAATAGACTAAGAGGCACAGAGAGAAAAAAGTAAGATAATTTGCCAGTATTACCTTGTCTGCTCCAGGACACCAGTGGTTTTGGCTGGCCTTGAGCCATACACTCCATCACGGCAGGATGTCCAAGCACAACTGAAGCATTCTGAGGTGGTGCCACAATCACAACTCTGTTCAGGGCTTCGGTGGAGCCTATGTCAGTGAAAGACATGTAAGCTTTGGCAGTCTGGACCAGTAAATATCACATTAGACAGTGGTGAACCCATTGATCCTGATCTCGCACTTCAGGGTTGCTGCCAAGATTTACAGCTCTGTTAGCAATTCAAATACACACTTTTTAAATCAAGTAGCTGTCACAGCAGTTTTGCATCAGTCACATTTGCAAATATACAAATAAAATCATGATCAAGTATTTAGAAAAATTGTGTTCTGTATTTCATTTAAATCCTACCCTGCCTTCAGGCTAAACTGCAGAGAGGTGTGAAGCTGTATTCAGAGAAATTCATACAGCTTGCATTGAAACGTCTTGATGCATTCTCAATCATCCAGGTAAGTAAATCTCCAAAGGTTGATTCTGTTCATCTGGATGTTTCTCCCACTGAAAATGCTACGTCCAGATGAACAAAATCAACCTTTGGAGGCTTGCATTGAAACATTTGATGTAGATGTCACCCGAAAGTGTTTGACATTAAGCATTTGTTAGGATGGACACTGGAATGTTATTATTTACATGGAGCAATGTGAACCTTCACTAACAGATTTTGGACATACACCAGAAATCAAGCCTACACAGAATGCTTGACTGAGGGGAGAACATAAATGATGCTTCTACAAACCAATTTCTGAAAAGGTTGGGACGCAAATCTCATAAACCCGCATTTAATTCTAAAAAAGCACATAAAAACATATTGAATGATAAAACAGAGGCAGTTTCTTACTTTATGAAATATATTTGAAGAGCTCATTTGCTTTGCAACAGATCGGTAATGCAATTGGGTATAAAAAGAACATCTTGGGAGAGGAAAATTCTCCCAGAACTAAAGATGGCAGACATTCAGCAATCTGCGAAAATCTTTCTATGAATTATGGAACAATTTCAGAATTATGGTTCTCAGGGTAAAATTCTTAAGACTCATGCCTTATTATTTACAGTACATAATATCATCATAAAAAGAATCTGAAGAAATATCTAGGACGAGGCAAAAAAGGGATACTGGTTACCCATGATCTTTGGGCCCTGAGGGGGCATGATTCATGAACAGACATGATTCTGTTATGGCCTCACACCCACATTTTCTAAACTAGAGGAGAGTGACAATCCAGCGTGTTATCAATGCTCTGTTCAGAAGCCTGCATGTCTGCATGATGGTGCATCACTGCCAAAGGAACTGGAAGTTTGCACATGTGGAAAGGCACCATCTGTGCTGAAAGGTGTGGTTTTTATAGCAACATAATCAGACAATAATAAACCACATTCCTCTCCTTGAAGTCCAGTAACTGGTCTCCTCAGTTACCAGATGTTTATGGGCTGTGGTTAAAAGAAGAGGATATGCTACACAATGATAAAGATGACCCTCTCCCAACTTTTTTGACATGTGTTGCTCCCTTTAAATTCAAAATGAGACACAAATTGCTTCAGTGTTTTTGCTCAAGGTACATCTGATGTGAGTGGGCCTTTCCACTCACTCATCAGCTGCTCATAATGGTAATGAGTTCAGGACAGATGCCTGGCATTCTGCAAACACATTATAAATTAATAATCAGGACTACAAGGTTATGCCTTGGTTATGCTTAAAGCTTAAGTGGGACATATTGCTTTTGTAAGGACTGCACTGGATGGTGTGCCTTCATATAGGGCCTGTGTGGGTGCGGTAAAAAAAATAAAAAAAATAAAAACTGTAAAGAAAATAGAGGAAACTAGAAATTGTTGGTTTAAAGCAGCTAAATCTCCTCTATCCTCTATGTGAATTAAGTATATGAAGAGATGACCTCAACATCAAGCTGTAAAAACTCCATTATGGGTGTTGAAGTGGTCTATTCATAGATGTGAAAACAAATTAAGTGATGGCATTAGATCTGACATCTGTTTCATGTAATAAATTGCAATAAGGACTTAAGTAGTCCCCTCCTGCGACAGAAGGCCACAGGAGGAAAGTATCTATGCATCTATGTCATTTTAAATGTGAGCATTCATTCATTTCTACAGCAAATTTTCAAAATGATCCCTACCTACTCAGTAAGGAGAGAAAATTGATTCTGTTCATCTGGATATATCATCTTCAGTTGGTGAAATGTTTCATCACTCATCACAGTGACTTCTTGAGCCACTTTTAAGCTGTCTGCAAGTTTCTGTTACCTTATTAACAGTACATTTGACCAAAACTAGCACCACTGACTAAGTTTTAGTCAATGGTGCCGTGCCTGACCTTCAGTGGTGCTAGTTTCAGTCATTATGCAAATGTAATATTTTAAAGGTTGGGGAAGCGTGCAGTCAGATTAAAAATGTTAAAAAATTAAAAACTAAAAATGTTACCTCCAGATGAACAGAATCAACAGTATGGGGTAGCCTTCTGACAGTTTTCGCTGTGGCGCATACAAACTTCCCAACAGATTAGCAGCGATTTAAGTTTCAAAACTTTAAGTTTGTCGTAATTATTCAATAACTTACAATATGTTTTATCAGACAGGGAGAATGAGCCTTGATCAGCGACTGACATTATGAACAAAACATAGTGCCAGACAGTTGGGAGACCAAGACCAATGCCAGGAGCCATATAGAAGTATATTATAGTCTGCAAACGATTTCACAGCATGAAAGCTTCTTTTTACTGTATGTGCTGGAAAAAATGTATTGTGAAGGTCAGGCAAGGCAAATGCATGCAATTTCATACACAACATAAGCTTAAAGTGCTTGACATTATACACAACAGCTTTAACACGCAAGTCTTAGACATCAGTTCAGAACAACCATTTTGCTTTGACCCACTGAAGATTATCTTCATTATTTTCAGTAACTAAAGTAAAAAAAAAAACAAAAAAACAAAGAACAAGAATCATAAAACAGTCCCAAGAATCATAAAACAGCATTTATCTTCACATTTCAACGTGCTTTTTGATTAGACTGTGCCAGTGCAGTAATGTTCTTTTCAACAAACATCACAGTGTTTTTTTCTCCAGACTTCCTTGATTAGAGTTGTATAATTCAACAGAATTATACCAGACACTGTGTTGGAGCGACAGGGTTGTTTTGAACGTTACTTGGAGGTTACTTGAAAGAGGCATACGGAGCTACTACTGTACATGTCAGATGGATGAGCAGAGGTCAGTTTTTGGCAATGATTTAGCCAAGAACTGAGCTCTTGCCTTAAATCCAAGAATTCTTAATCTTTCAACACATGCGTAATATGCACTTCTAGGCAGATACTAGTTGCTTTCGAATATAGCGTTCCTGCAAGATCTTATTGACCTACTCAGTGAGTTCAAGTTAGAGTGGCAGGGTGAGGATAAATATGTAATCATGATCAGCTCAGTAAACAAATCTGAAAGCAAGCTACAATTGATGTCAAGTGGGCTGCAGTGCTGTTGCCTGTGTAGCTTTAATATCAGGACAAAATACATAATATGAAGAGTCAAGTTCAGAACATTTTACCTGAATCTAAGAAGTAATTTACTGACTATGCACCCAGCCTAGTTGGTTTGAAAACAGTTATTTGCCTTTTCAGAGTGGTGCAGGTTCTGATGTTGCATTACCTGCAAAGCAGTATCACCCTTCTAACTGGGTAATTCTGCTGAGAATGAGATTCTCACACTGCAAAATAACACTCGGGTCACCTGGTATTAATGGAAAGTTCTAGAATCTACTTCAAGAGCAAAAATATTCCAACCTTGGAAGATGTGTCTTGAATTTGAAATCGGTTTTGATCAACATATTTGTGTAAATATGCTGTATCTTCCAAGAAAATCATCAACTCAGTTTCACAATGATGGAAGAGCACCTTGAGGCTTAAAACAGACTCTTTCTATCCAGACTACAAGTGAGTAGTTGCCTCCTCTTAGTACCGGGGATTCAAGTAAGACAGAGAAATATATTTCCATTCCATTTAGAGAAGTTAAGAAAACATTTAAGAAAACATTAATGGTAAATGGTAAATGGCCTGTATTTGTATAGCGCTTTACTAGTCCCTAAGGACCCCAAAGCGCTTTACACAACCAGTCATCCACCCATTCACACACATTCACACACTGGTGATGGCAAGCTACATTGTAGCCACAGCCACCCTGGGGCGCACTGACCACTCCACTCAAAAAATGACCTCAATTATTTCAGAACTACAGCCATTTTATACAATTTTATACAATTATCCATTTTCAGGGCCTCAAAATAGCTTGGACACACAAGTTTAAACCGAAAATTTTTTTTTTAATAGCTTTAAAAGCTTTTCCAGTCAACGACCACCTGAAGATTACGACACATGGACATCACCAAATACTGTGTTTCTTCACTTGAGATGGTCTGCTTGGCCTTTACTGGAGCCACCTTCAGTTACTGCTTATTTGTGGGTCTTTCTGCATTAAGTCTCATATTTAATGACGGAGAAACCCCCGAGTTGCTTTGGCATTATGCTTTGGGTCATTATCCATTGTGAAGCACTGTTCTATCAGTTTGGCTTAATCTGAGCAGAGAGTATAGCCCTGTGCACTTCAGAATTCAGCCTACTTCTTCCTTTAGCAGTCACATCATTAATAAACACTAATGACCCAATTCCACTGGCAGCCATACATCCCCATGCTATAGCATTACCTACCACATATTTGGCAGATCCTGCAGTATGCTTCGGATCATTGGCTGCTCCTTTCCTTCTGCATACTTTTCCTTTCCCATCATTCTGGCACAGGTTATTTTTTTTTCTGTCCAACCATAGTTTTGAAGGCTTGTGAAGACTCTTTTAGATGTTTCTTTAATGGCAAAGTCTAATCTGGCCATTATGTACTTGAGTGTAATCAGTAGTTTGCACCTTGTCGTGAATCCAGTTTCACATTAACTCATTGTGAAACTGAGTTCTTGTCTGAAAGACCAGAACTGGGCTTTGCATTCCTCCAGATCATTGATTCGGCCTCTCTAAAGTTTCTCTAAATCTTTCAGATAGGTTGATTTTGTTTGTTTTTACAATAGCGTTCCTCACTTGCACATCTCTCTGGACCTCATATTAGAATTACTGCTTCATTTCTCATGAAATAACAAAGTAACAGGCTACACCTGGCCATGAAATTGCTTGTCGGCATTAATTTTGAGCCTCTGAAAATGGAGGACTCTCTGCAATCAAATAATGATTATGACTCAAGTAAAACTGTTCTTGTCAAACATATTAGAGACTTAACTGTATCTGCGCTGCTTTCAAATTTACTGTGTGCATGTTAAATATGTTGGTAGGCAATCAGTATTGGTTAGGGCTCTCTAACTGGATTGACATATCTTGTCAGATTGGTAATTTTAAAAGTAGATCATGGTTCAAAAATAGGTTGGAAACATCTTGTAAAAAATTAATGCACAGAGATATATGATGTGCAGTCTCTATTCACTGACATTAGTTGGTTTACTGTATATGTATAGTATCAGCTGTTCCTAGAGTTAAAGTGACCACAGTCCTGAAATAATCAGAGTAAAAATATCATTTAGAAATGTATTTTCAACACCAACAGATGCACTGTAGTTTCTTGTAATGCATTCCATTACAGTGTAAAGCTGCTGCCATAGAAAGTGCATCACTTGGATGTGTGACCTTCACTCTACAGATTGATGTTGGTGCAGTTTGAAACTAGAAGGCTGTTTGCTAATTCATCTGCTGAAGGTGACAAGTTTCTCTGTGATCACCTTGAGACATCAGCATGATGTACCATTATGATTTCTGAGCCTGTCATGTCAGAAGCCAATCATGTCCCAATATGCATATCCATTTCACACAAGCGTAAGCTGAAGACTTTAAATACATCAAATTGACTTTTGGGCAGAAAAAAGAAATATAAATAATTATAATTAATATAATAATTCAAAATGTGCTTTAAAACTCACTACAGCTATAAACTCACATGACATGAAAACTCCTCAAGTGAAAAAGTGTCATTTTGTTAGCTGTAAATATATCCAATGAATTTTAAGCCAAAACTCATAAGAATGGAAAGATAGGAGTTCTCAGTGGTACATGCCTGTCAATTCAAACACTATAAAGGACTGCAACAGGCCTTACCTGTGGTGACAGAGAGTCTGGCTTCATGACTGATGTCCTTCCCGGCAGAATTGGATGCAACACAGCGGTAGACACCCTCATCATCCTTGGTCACCTCCAGAATCTGGAGCACCCCATTAGGAAGGGAAATGAATCTGTTGCACACAATAAAAAAGAGAGACAGAGATGACGGAGAAAGAAGGATTTAGAAGGAATAGCAGAGAGAATGAAATATAAGGTTATATAAATGGCTTAGTGCCCTATAGGATGACGCATTCAGGTGATCAGCTTTGTAGGTTGCTGCTCCTGAGTCCCCATAAGACACCATCTTTGTTCAGGAGAAAGTACCTTTGTGTACAACCACTTTAGAGATGAGTCAGACAACACAAAATAACTGCAATTCTAGAACTTTGGGATGTAAGCTTTTCATAGTATCACAAAATACCCAAAATGAAGACTGTTTTAATGGCTGCACTGTAATGTGTGTAATATGTGTTTTGCATACAGAATCTGTCTGCACTGTTAATACTTCCCATATTTTATATCATTGCCTCTCCCTCCCCTACAGAGGTCATTACTTCAGACAGGCAAACCAGGCCAGTGGAACCCAGGCAATATAAAGCCATCACACCACCTCTTATAGCTGTTATCATAGGCTATTAATCTGACCATAATGTGACCAGCGGTAGTCTGTTCATGAAGGATAAAAGAGCAGGCGAGTGTAAAGGAGATAAGAAGAGGAGACAAGGAGAATAATAAGAGGTACCAGAAAACAAAGGATCCAAAAAGAAAGCGGTAATAAGAGAAAGCATCATTTATAATGAGAAAATTTGGATAGATAAATAACATTAAACACACATAAATATGAAAGAGAAAAGCTAGTGATGCTTGAACCATTTTTTGGTTGATTTTAGTTTAACAACATTATTAGAGCCTGAGGTGGAAGAGCCATGTCCCACCAATAAGACCTTATGAGGAGCAAGCTGGTTGTGGGTCAAGCAAGGCTACAGCAGCCATTAACACTTTGCCTGACGTAATAAGGCTGGAAACAAATTCCAGGGTCAGGAGAAATGTCGATATTGTTAAGTGATCCATTAAATGGGAATATATGTGTGAGAAAACTGGGAGAGAGACTGTTCAAGGATGTTGCTATCATGATGTGGCTGTTCCTTTATGAGAGTTTACCATACCATTCTGCATTTCCATTAAAGACTGAAGCAGCTACATTCAGGGACAAACAAAATTCACATTCTTGTTTTGAACAAAAGACTGAGATGTCTTTAGTAACTAGCAGCGACATCCAAACTCAAAGAATTCAAATGGAGGGCAACATCCAAACACTCTTGTACACAGTTATAGTGAGTTTGCATAAATTTTTCACTAAAATAAAATGAATATGAAATCATATACAAAAGATCATTGGGAATATTTAACATACAATAAAAAGCCAAAGCAGAACTCCATATGTAGTTACCTTGTTCCCTCAGGAATCGCTACTTCATCTTTTTCCCAGGTAATAACAGGGGTTGGTATTCCTTCAATTTGGCATTCAAAGCGGGCATCCCCTCCTGTGGGCACTTTTTGGGGAGATGGCTCCAGACGGAACTTCGACAGACCTGCAGGTACAGTAATGATATAGTTCAGAGGGTTATTGATCAAAGCGTCTGCCCACATCTGGTATTACATCTGGCCATGGTCCACAATTTCTACAGCATATCTTCAGCATACCTAGTGCACTTATCCATGGCTGCAAAACCAGTGCAAGGGATCTACACACTCGATAGCTCACACTTGATAGCTCAAGTCGTAACTTAATACAAACAGAACTAACCTTATCATTTATTCTATTTACAGCTTTGTTCAGACAACCCAGTGAATGTGAATTGTAAGTGAATGTCACTTCTGCAGTCTGTATTTAAGACTTCCAGTGTTTGTATTACACCCATTGTAGGGCTTTCAGTGGTGCTGTTTTAATTTTTGTAATTTGATTAAAGACTTGTTGAGGCCGTTTAAATGCCCTTGAATGTCCTGATTAGGAGAAATTTAGGGACTTAATCAGGCTTGGCTCTATTTGTCTGTCCAGGTCGACTCTTGGCAGGACTCCAGTTTTCAGACTTTATACAATCACAGACACGGGAATGCTTCCCTCTGAATGTAAAGCTGAGCACCAGGGGGCAGCAGTGAGTACCGTCTGAGGGCCTCTAACCTCTGACCCCAACAGGCTGTTGGAAGAGAGAACAAAACAGGCTGGCTGTCCCAGCCTCTTAGTTTGTAGCCCTGACTGAGAAGTAGGGGAGTGGGGGTGGATCAAAGGAAAGTGCAGAGAAAGAAGTCGGGGAAGGCAACTCTAAGAGGAGAAAAGTAAGAAGCAAAGAAATAAGCAGAAGGGACATTAAAAATGCCCAAAACATAAAATGGCTAGAAAATCCAGTGTGTAATTACATTAACCACATAATAGGCTGTAAGAATTTACTGTAATATCATAATAATATCATATGTGTTTCTTTGAATGTTGAATAAGCAGAGGCATCTAATCAGCCAGTCTTTCTGGTTTACGTAAAACACTTTCTCCTTGTGGAACTAATCGCCAAACTGGATTTGCACAGCCTCAAAACATGTAAACATCACCCAAAAGTGTTACAAACATAAATGTGTGAATGTGTGAAACAGCAGCTATTTATAAAGTTTTCTGAAATATTCTGAAGATAGACGTCCTACATTTATCCCCTCCACTGTATATTTAAAAATAGAATTTCTGCTACTTATCACATGAAAGGCAAATGCCAGGCCATCTAATAAATATTAAGATATTAAATTCAAACCCCAAAATTTCGACTTGACAGGTCTATTGTTGTGTTCAGTAGATTCATTAAATTATCTAGGAATAATGAAGGTCTTTGTACAAACCCAAATTAAACTATTTAGTAGACTAGATGGATTTAAGCATTGTAACTTTTCCAGTATCAGTTGAGAAACGTAAGTTAACATAAGTCTGCTAAATAAATGTAGAGAAATGACCAAAATCACTAAGCTTAAACCTTAAACCATAGCCATAGCTGCTGCCAATCACATGGTAGGCTCAAGATTTCTGAATTCACACCATCCTGATTTTTTGTACAAGATTTTCTCCAAACCACTGTAAGCTGAGGAGGAGACACTGGACAGGCTATCCAAAATCACCATAGGCCCTATCACTCCAACTGTTAGTCATGTCAACAAACTGTCCATCTGTGTTTTCCCACTGTGCTGAGGGAACAAAGTTTCTCAATGAGTACACACAGGCTGACAGAGATGCTTGGTCATAGTAGCAAAATGGATTTGATTCATTTCAGAAAATCTCACACTGACTGTTGCGTAGCAAGTCATGGAAGAGCCGTTGATGATTAACCTCTGCCGCTTCCAGCCATTACAGCATGATCCTCTCATGTAAACACACACAACCTATAACACTGCCAGACAGCTTGATAGGATGACACGCTCAATGAGCGTGCGTGGGTGTGTGCACATTTGTAAATTTAAGTGCCGGTGTGCCCTGCTACTTGTTCTCTAATGCCTGCACACGGACAGCTTGTGATTACTGTATGCAGCCATGTTCA